TGTTTATGGCCATCTGAAATCATTTAACTAATTGGTACAGAATCTGAAGAAAAATTTAAGGATTATGATTACATTAAGGCCATTTTTATTGAAGAGATTTAAACTAAATCCGGAGAGCTTTAGAAAAACGTTTATGATGCACCAAGAGAGCAATGAAAAATCATGGAGAATTTTTGCTACGAAATTACAAGTTATTTTGAAGAATGGATCAATGAGCTTGAAATCACAGACTTTGCCGGTTTAAAAGACCTCATTATCACAGACCAAATTAAGAAAAGAGTGCCTCATGAAGTAAGGGACCATTTTCTTGACGACTGGGTGAAGTTCGTTTCTCCGACCAAATTAGCGGATAAACTTGATGAATACAACAGTGTTCATAATACTTCAAAAAAGACTGGTGGTAGCCCACTGAAAGACAAAACTAATGAAAAGTGGTGACCTCATTCTCCAGTTCCAGAAAGGACTTCCAAAAACAAATCGTTCTCCGTTCAAAAAACGCCAAGAGTAAACCCTTCCCGTAAGAATGACGACCCACAAAAGCCAATTTCCAAACTAACTTGCTATAATTGTGGGAAAGAAGTCATACATTTAAATTCTGCACCAAAAATCAGCTACCAAAAAATACCCCTGCAACAGCACAAAGCAATTTAACCCTCTGAGCGGCCAGGGTTTTCATTAAGAAAGCACTAATTTCCCAAAATTACCATGACAACAAATTATTATTTTTATTTTAATGTAAAACTTCTCCTGGGATTACATACCTGTATTTGTATACTTTTGATATATTGCCTTAATTTCTTTGACATATTTTAATATGCACGTATATATACATTCTTACAGACATCACAAAAAGTATTCTAGGCCGTATATATATATGGCCTTGCCGCTTAGAGGGTTAATGCAAATGCAGACAGGTCTTGCAGAAAAAGAAAAACCAGAAGTTCTAACTGCCAAGATATCTATACTATTCTCAAAATACGTGGACGTATCTAGAAATATAGATGATCTGAAAGTTAAATGCACAGATATTGTTCTAAATGGAATCATAGTCACGGGAGCACAAATTTCAGTAGTCCATGAGAAACTGGTCAATGACATACCTTGCGAAGGAGAAAGTAAACTAGAGATAGCTTCTGCTTTTGGGTAGAATGAAATTACTCCACTGAAAATTTTCCAGATGAAAATTGGCGATGATCTTCATGGCAAAGTGCCCATTACCTGTGCTGTTTCAAGAAAGCTAGTTACCGACTTGTTACTGAGTTCTTCAGCTTTTGAAATGCTATGCAAAAATATTGAACTGTGTCACAGTGATCATCAGTGGGATGCATCTTCCTTAATCAGATGAACCCTCACCAACTAAAGACAACACTTCAAACTTAGCTGTTGTTAATCAGATTTCCGATGGAGACATAGGAACTGTGGAAACAACAAGCAAAACAAGACTAGAATTTAGAAGGCCTCAAGAACAAGACAAGAAGTTTTTGAATCGGGAAATAAAAATGAGAATTCATATGCTTTTGACAATGGCATATTACTTCACTCCGAATATATCTGTTGTGAAAATATAAAGCTGTGTTGCTTTTAGAAAAAAGAAAAGAAGTTCTGAGAATAGCACATGAAATTATTTTTGCTAGGCACCTCAGTGAGAAAAGGTGAAAAAGACAATTCAACAAATCAAGTACTCATTCTTTTGGCCTACTATTAAGCAAGATGTTAAAAGGTTCTGCAAAAGCTGTAAAGAATGCCAATTGAGAAGAAAAATTACATACAAAGATAGAATTCCAATTCAATCTATCATTAGACCAGAAACACCCTTCAAAGTATGGAGCGTGGATTATATCGGACCATTAGAACCTCCATCTGGAAGAGGTCATCGGTTTGTAATATGTGTGGTCGACCTATGCACCAGATGGGCAGAAGCCATTCTCGTCAAAGAGATAAGTGCAAAAACAACATGCAATGTTTTGATGAGGATTTTTTCCTAAACTGGGTTTTGAAACATGATTTGTTCCGACCAGGGAGCTAATTTCATAGCCAAACTCACCCGAGCTATCGAAGACCTCCTTTGTGTATCTCCACGATTCTCCACGCCAGGACACCCAGAGAGTATGGGTGCTATCGAATGTTGGAACAGAACCTTAAAAGAGATGATGAACAAAAACGTCCGAGAACATGGGGAAATCGGAATTTGCATCTTCCCCATCTCCTGCTTGTCTACAGATAATTGCCACATAGCACTACTGGTTTGTCTCTCTTCCAGATGGTGTATGGAAGAATACCACCAGGCCCTCTATCCTTGCTAAAGGAGATCTGGATAGGTGAACATAGCATTCCAGTCACAGCTTCCTGTTTAATTGAAATTTATCTACAAGGTCTTTTAGAAAACGTAAGAAAAGCTTGTGACATTGTGTCAGCAAACTCCAACTTATCTCAAAAAGAATATACTTCAAGATATAACTTACGTTCTAAAGAAAAGACTTTCAATGTGGGGGACAAAGTTCTCATCACCGCATAAATTACTCAATACCTGGCAAGGACCAGCCACTATAATCACCACACAGGGTCACACTCTGCCAAAGTCGAAATTGAAAACGGAAGTATAAGAGAATTCCAGATAAATAAGTTAAGACCTTATATTGCTTGCGTAGATCACGTTGGCATAATTTTTGACCAAGATTAAGACTTTGGAGATATCCATTATGCACCAGCGGATCCTATGAATAAATCTACTGAAGATATCTGGACTCACCTACACAATTTGAAAGGTAACTTAAAACATTATCAGCGCAAGGGACTAATTGAAATATTAAAATATTATGCCGATGTTTTTAGTAACAAACCGGGCCAAGCTAATATCGATGGTCATGACATAAAGGTTACAGCAGACTGTAGTCCAAAAAGATTAAAACATTTATCGTGTGCCTGCTTTGCATCAAGATGAAGTTGATCGGTAAGTTAAAGAACTGTTAGAATGGGATCTTATAGAACCCAGTGACAATGAATGGGCACATCCTGTAGTATGTGTTACAAAAAAGAATGGTAGTGTTAGACTGTACATAGATTTTAGGCTTTTAAACAGCTTCACAGTTCCGGATGCTTATCCGATGAAGATTGCTAAAGATTTACTTTTTGAAATAGGAAAAGCCAAATTCATAACAGTTCTCTATTCAACCAAGGATACTGGCAAATCCCGATGAAAGAACGAACCAAACCTTACACAGCATTTGTCACTCATTCCAGACATTGCCAGTAGAAAGTTCTTCCCTTCGGTTTGAAAAATACCGCAAGTACCTTCCAAAAATCCATAGATAAGTCACACCATAAGAAATACGGTCATTCATACATCGATGATGTGGCAATATTTTCTGAGACTTGGGATGATCACACCAACCAAGTGTTTCAGACCCTGAGAAACGTAGGTCTAACCACAAATCTAGAAAAATGTGATTTTGGAAAGAGTCACATAAAGTTTCTAGGTCACATAATCAGTTCTGGCAATCACTCTCCAGATCCTGTGAAAGTAGTAGTCATCTGGAATCTGTCTAAGCCTGCCACTAAAAAAAGAAGTCAGAAGTCGTTTCGGGCTAGCAAGTTACTATAGGGATTATATATCCAAAATTTCTGAAATAGTTTTGCCTCTGACAAACCTTACAAAAAAAAAAAAAAAGAGTGTTCCAAATAATATTCCGTGGGACTCTAAAGTGGAAGCATCTTTCAACAAACTTAAAGGAGCTGATTAAAATGCCATCCTACATACTCCGGACATTGACAAGCCCTTTCAACTCTATACAGATGCATCTGCATTTGCAATCGGAGCGTGTTTAGCTCAAAATGGCCATAGCATTTTTTAGCAAAAAGCTAACTTCCTGTCAACAATGATGATCAACCATCGAAAAAGAGCGGACTGCATCATCGAAGCCTTAAAAAATTTGACATTTGTATTTTCGTTGCCAAAGTACAAATCGCATCCGACCATAATCCCCTCACCTACTTGACCCAAAGCATGCCTCATGGTGCTAAACTGTCTTATTGGGCCTTAGCATTACAACGTTACAACTTGACTGTCACATACCGCAAAGGCAGTTCACACGTGAATGCTGATGCCTTATCAAGATCATCAGTTAACTCATAAGAAAAATTAAATTATAAAGAAAGCCTATTTTCACAAGAAAAATTTAAAATACTTCCAATAATGTTAATTTAATATTGTAGTATTTAACGTCTGACAGTGTGTATATGTTTTATTTATATATATATATATATATATATATTCACATTTATTTTTAAATAATTATGTGTTCAATAAATCATTTCTGGAAGAGCTGCATATCTTGGAGCTCTCACTTATATTTCACTGTTTTGAATATAAGATGTGGTGCTGCTTTTTTTTTTTTTTTTTTTTTTTTTTTTTTTTTTTTTTTTTTTGTTTTGTTATGGTGTTTTCAGACTCTCTATCTTTGAATTTTGAGCAGCATTGTCTCTAAGGTGACAAATGTGCTTCTCGTGGAGGGGCTAGTAAGGATCGACAGTTATGAATACAAGAAAAGTTGTGTTGTCTGGAATGGCAACACCAAAACGAAAAGAACATTTGTGACTTAAAAAATAGGACAGAGCAGGTGTTACCAGAAACGGAGGCAGAAGTGAGTGTTGCTCAACACAATTGTAATTAATCTCTTATTGTTTAAATTCTTTTGTTATATGAATAAAATTTGTTGTTTGTTTGAAAGTTCGGCTTTATGACTTCAATCATTTGGAGTATCTACAATCATCTCGGCAGGTCATTATACAAGGGAATAGTAACGAAAGTTTTCCAGTTAGATGTTCTCAACAAAGAAGTTTTACTCCTTCTCTTTTAGTTTTGTTTAAAAATAATTTCATTCCATGGTTGTTTCATACAAAACTCGCAATATTCATTAATTGTTTTGAGTATATACATGCATATATAAAATCTACAGAATCTATTAAACATTTTTATTGTAAATAAAAATATCACACCTTACCATATCTTCATCTTCAATAGCCTTGTCTAACAGACTGTCAAACTTATTAACATGTTCAATCATTTCTAAAATTAAGGAAGGAAACCTGAAATTAAAAAATACCTACTATTAAGTGACTTAAAAATAGAATATTATGAGAATAACTATTATTTATCACAATAAACTTATTCTAAAAATATTAATTTGCTTCTTAATAATAAGTTTTTAGTGAGTCATTAATCTTATGAATTTTAATTTTTGTATATTTAGTAATGAAAAGATAAAGTAACACAATTACTGGTAAGGGAAGAATTTTATAGATTTCACATGTTTTCGGGTATCTGCCCTTTGTGGCATGGCAAATGAAATTCCTGTAATTTATTCTGTCCATGCTCACTAAAATTGCAGTCTGGTAGTCCTGAAAGTGACCTGCTCAGAAAAAAAAACTTCAGAGGAAAAGATCATGTAGTGTTGCCAGCTAATTGCTATGCATATTGCAAAATCCAGTCTTAAATACTTCATATGTATTTATAGCTATCAATAAAATATTTTGAAATAATTTAAATAGATGTACATAGTTTTTATTTTTGTAAGTGGAAGCACCTGACGTTAACAGCTTACATAAATTAAGGATAGTTTTTAAACTGTTAGAGTATACAGATGATTCAAGTCTGCTTTTCAGAAGATACCGTATTTGACAGCATATAAGACACACTCTTATTTAGAAGGCCCCACACATGTAGATGTAGAAAAAGTTATGTGTGTCTAGACCTTTATCCGGACTAAAAATAGCATTCAGTATTGAAAGTTAACCTGTGTGCTTCACGTATAAGATGCAGGTAATTTTTTTTTAGACCAAATTTAGGAAAAAAAGTGCGTCTTATATGCCATCAAATACGGCAATTGTTTACAATTAGAAAAGATGGAAAATATGTTAATAGCTTGGATAGACAAAGTAATTGGCAATGATGGATTTTCAGAAAGAAGAATTAATCAAGAATGATGTTTGAGAAAAGGCGAATGAAAAACTGGATGACCTTGTAACAACCAACAGCAAAAATATTGATTGTGAAAAAGATAGAGCTCCTTTAACTTACTAAAAATTAAACAAATTGTTTAAAAGGTACAGGGACTACTTGATTTTCCAATGGAATTAGACTAAATGAAGAAAGAAGAGGTCACTTTTTATGAAGCACTGAAAGACTTCATTCTTTACTGCAAAACTCCTTACTTCAGTTGCATCAATCAATTCCCACAAAAAAATTATCAGCCTTAAAAAAAAAAAAATCACAATTATATCATGTAGCTATTTATCAAGCAGTATGCAGGGTTCATACATATTTCTGAACATGGAAATTAACCCTCTGGCTGATCATCCCGCGATCAAATGTAGCAAAATTTGCTCATCCCGCAATCATATGTTTTTCTTCCTTTATTGAGGAGCGCATTCTGTTTTTCCCCCATTTAACCATTGAAATGAATTATATACAGTATTAGGCATTAAGTTTACATTTTGGCCAACAGATATCGTTAGTTGTCCACTAAATTGCAGCATTTGAAGGCACTGGTATTAGCGCTCAAACTTCACTTGTTGCCGCTTTTTTCTTACAGAAATGGCTGCTAGAAAAACATTCAGCGATTATCTTGATTATTTAATTAAATTACTGAATTAATAATTAGACTGATTATTAATTAGATTTATTGAGTCTGGTGCAAAGACTTGTGAAGTTGGACTTTGCCTTGAACCCTGTTTTGAACTCTATCATACTGTTTTGAACTGCATTTCTAAGGTATTTTTCCCTCAGCACTTCATATTTTCTTAAATTTTATACATTTTACTTTTTTATGTTATGCAATAAATAGAAATTAACTGCAATTCGACTGAAATTTACTTTAAAAAAGTTTTTTTTTAAACAACTGAAATTGGTTTTTCTGGCAACTTAGTTTATCATGATAAAAATCTATATAAAAAATATTTTCTTGAAAGAAAAAGTGCATTTTTCAATTCTCCAATATATATCGATTTAAAATATGCAAAAAAAAAAATACAAAAAAAAAAAAAAAAAAAAGCGATTTCGGTCCACAAATTGAGCAGTCAGAGGGTTAAGTACTTTTAAGGACCATTAATAAAACAATTAAGGAAGTATCAGCAAATGGGAACTGAATAATTTCAATTAAAGATATTATCTATGCCTGAACATCACTTTTGTAATACCATCGTAAGAATAAAATGCATCTGTAAGTAGGATGCAATATTATTAAGCGTAATTTATTAAACATAATTATAAAAAAAAATTGAGAATAAAATCATCCTAATACCATTTATCAAATAGCATTAAATATTTTTCACTTATAATAGCTGGACATATTTGAAAGAAGATTAGTATCATTTTATTTACATTTTTACTAACATAACAGCTTTATGTTGATTTTTTTTTCCTTGCATGTTTCATTTCGTCATGCATTTGCTCAGTCTAGAAGCTTAGTAAATAGAAGGCAGATTTTATGTCAAACAACATAGGTTAAAATGAGAAGTAAAATCATAATCCACAAGATTCTTAACAGAAGATTCACTGTTGTCACCACTGCTATTTGCCTACAGAAAGATCTGCTGATCAGAACCAACCTGAAACCCTGTCTGTCTGATGCAGTTAGTGTCATAGCTTCATGTAAAAACCCAGCTAATATACTTTAAGGTTCCAATTAGCCACTAAAGCACCAAAGATGGTAAGTTGTTTTGTATTATTTTAAGGCTCACTAGTTGTAAAGAATAAGTCTGACATTAATTTTTACATATTTGTGCTGTATTTTGTGACCACAGTAAGGATTAAAGAAAGGCAATAACTTAGTTTTAACATGCAGAGATAACTTTTAAGAAAAAGGCATTAGCTACAAATAATTAAATTAGATAGTTATATACCCTTAGTCATTACAGGTTTACATGGCCACTGTTAAATTTTACTTATTTTTTTAAATATTTGTTAAAAAAGCACTATTAAAATAAATTACTATTTAATAACATTTCACAGATCAAAACACATGTAATTTATGACATTGATTCTTAAACAATATTAGGATAATTAATTACACATTAAAAGCTATAAAACATTTACATTTTGTAGCAATAACACACAACAAAATACTTATGCATCTTTTTTAATTTGGAGCCTTCTGAGATATTTTAGATAATTTATATCAATTTCCTCCTTTTTAAGCATTTTTTCTAAGAATTAGAAATTTGTTTTGATATGGAAACCACTGTTCCTACTACGTTCTGCTTGCTTTATCTCCTAACCTGTCAACCTTTTGATAATGTACCTATGAAGTTTTACTTGTTCTAAAAGTTAAAAAGTCCAAAATTCCTGACTGCCATGAAGCAAATTATCGCCATGTCTGAAAGTAACTACAAAGCAGGGTCATTATTGCTGCTGTAGGCAAACTTGAAAAGTGCTGCCCCCCCCAAGCTTTAAAATAAAAAGAAAGCAGGTTTATATATATATACATATATAATATATAACAATCAGAAAAATATGGTCTTACCTAATTGAATTAAGACAATAACATTCATATAATATTTATGAAATATATTTTATTAAAAACTCACAAACTTTGTAACTAAAACTAGACAAACAATACTTTTGAAACTACAAATAATAATGAATACTAGTACAATATACAAAATTGAAACCTAAATTAACGTATTCTCTTTTTAACCTTTTTTCCCCCTGCAAAATCATGAATAAATCCCTTTAGATCCAATTTATTACTCAATTCATGTTCAATAACCAACATTGCTTAAGACGATTTTTTTTATTAAACATGCTTTTTAATTAACTTTTTATTATTTTTTAAAAAAAGATCTTTTGCTGATAGCAACAGTTTTCGAAGTCAAAAGGATTGCCAGTGCTTGAAATCTTTTCAAATAAAGTTTGAATATTTACAAATACTGCCTTAAAAATTCCGTAGAATACGAATATCTACTATTTCTCAATAGTACATTTTCAGCAAATTTCACAAATGCATTTAACGCTTCACCAGCCACACACCAAGTGATCTTCGTTCAATCTTCTTCGTCCCACTACCTATTTCTTTTATTACTTAAGGATTTAAGGCATTTTGCATCAAGACATCGTCACAGGTTTAACAAAATTCTTAAAGCAATGCTTAAATCTGGCCCAATGTTAAAAGAGGTAATGAATTTAAGAACATCAGCTGAACCTTCTTTCTTTTTTAAAAGTGAAGAAACAAGGTTTATTTTATCGGGTATCACCATAAGACTGGACAATAATCGGGTTTTATCCGATAAGACCATAAGATTGGAGGTATTACCATAAGACGCGTTAAGATGTTTTCCAGATCTTTACAGTGTGCCAGTAATTCATTTTTACCATATCTTTAAGTTTATGGACATTGTATAAAAACTCAAAAGAATCACTATGACTATTTAATAGGTTGAATCTCAGCTTCAGTGCGCTGATAGCCTGATCTATAGTAAAGACAAAAAATTCTATTTTTATATTTCTCTTTTGAATCTTTTATAGGTTCATCTACATTTTCATATGTAAAATTTCATTTCTTAGTTAAAAGACGGTGATCGGAGAATCAATTCAAAGTTTTCTTCTACTCCCACTTTATAAACTAATTTTTTAACTAATGATCAAAAATCGATTCCAAAAAAAACCTGAGGACTTTTAAGGACCATACAAACCCTGTAATAAAAGTCCCTTCAAATAATATTTGCTTCATTTATCCTTTTAATTACAACAATATTTAGGTCTTTAAATGATACAATATTTTTTTTTTTTTTTTTAAATTTGAAATATTCCCAACAATTTTTTCCACAGAAAGTTAACTTTGTGAAATTAGATTTCGGCATGCATGCAATGCTTTAATGATGCAGCCTCCATGTTTGGCAAGTGTTCCTGTACTTTAATTGGAAACAGTAGCTTTTGGAAACGTAATTGAAATAAAAATTCTGATACTAAGGGATATGCATCACATGTAATTTTCATGCCTTTTAAATGCACATCATTATCAGAGGAAACAAAATATATATATATATATATTTAGCACTTGAAAATTGAAAAAAATAATAAAAATTTTCAGGAAGTTTTAGAATTAGGAATATTTTTATACTTAACAAGTAACTTCAAAATTATTCAGAAATAAAAACAGCTTACTTGCTAGAATCTAGATGGTTGGCTATATTACTCAAAGTTTCTAATGCTGTCAGACTAACTTCATCTCTATATATAGAATCAAATACAAGTAGTAACAAAGATTTGTGTTCCATTATAGAGCATCCTAATAAAGCCCAACTAGAATAACATTTTAATGCCATTTCACACAATTCAGCAGGTGCTGAGGTTTTTGATAAAATGCTTTGTACAAGTTCCATGACAAGATCAAGGGATGACCGAAGTGCATTTCTGATGATTCCTACTCTCATTTGAAGCATGTGGGTTGTTTGAAACTAAAAAATTTAAAAAAAATTTTTTTTTTTTTTTAAGTTATAATTTCACTAAAGTAAAATATGCAATAAAATACCTCAAATTTCTACTAATATTGACAATGCATTCTTTTTAATCAACAATAATTATTAAGCACACATAGTATAAAGAAAAATCTCAAGTACATAGCTGATAGCAATGCAAAGCAATATTTTCAAGAAAGAAAAGATTTATTCTTCAAGTTTACGAATAGCTGTGGGAGACAAAATTATTTTGTTACAGAAAAATAAAATAAATATTTTTATACTGAAGACTTATTTCATTTATAACACTAAAACTAAATACTTTTTTTGGCAGATGGAACTTGAAAAACTGTTTTACAAATTCGAGTTCAGTTATAAAATTTCTTTACATATGCAATTATCAAATACACTACTGCAACCAATCAGACACAAATAAAAATCTTGTTACTGATTTCCACCTAAAAATTTTCCTTAATGTTATCATCCAGTAATTTGTATTCCCTAATTCTAGCTAGTTTTAGAAAGTTAGCTAAAACGGGAATTGAGATTACATTAATTACTTAAAAATTAATGAGAAATAAAATAAAATTAAGGAGCTTAATAATAAAATTAATAACTCATGGAACAAATTTATAATTGGGAATGTTTTGCACGTATTTTTTCAAAAATAAAAATAAATTATAAAAGTGCTTTAAAAGCATTTAATATAATTAAAAAAACTAATCATGAAAAGATAAAAACCAAAATGCAAAGGTTTACATAAATAGCTATAATAATAAACAAAGATTTTTTACAAAATTAACTGAAATATAGCAAGTGTGATATTTCAAATCGGTAAAAAATTCTGCTATTCTTCAAATGTCTTACTTGCATTATAATATCATCTGGAAGCAACATGAGATACTTTCTACAGCAAAAAAAAATTGGGGTAAGTTGCACAAAACTATCCAAACAAAGACTTTCTTGACAATTTGCTATTAACTCCAAAAATCATATTAAAAAGTTTTTAACTTTAGAAAGAAAATGGAGAACATATGCATATCTGAAATACCAATGTGCAGAATGACCATTAAGTGGCATTATGCAACCTTTTCAGCATTACAAATTTAGCCCTTAAATTTCAAATTTCCTCAAAATGTCATAAATGAATGGCATTTTCTTGATTATAATTAAAAACGACTCTCTCACTTTGTACCTTGTTTTTTTTTTTTTCCAATACACATCCAATCTGAACTCAGATCTATTAAAAACTGGTAGAAATTTTAATGTGTAACGATTACAAAAGCCACCCTTCTATAGAGAATTTTATATCTATAATGCTGAGAAGGTTAAAATATCAAAATACAGAAAGAATGAAAACAGACCCTCTAATAAACAAATCTGAAAAATTAAATCACAATTTGTTTATCATTTTATTTTCAATTTCCATTTATTTAAGAAACAAACTAAACCTTACCTCTTCTGTTAATACAGTCAGCAATTCTAATAAAGCATGTACAACTTGTTGAGGCTATAGAAAATAGATTTACCTGTTAATAACAAAATCAATAAAAAACAGCAACAATTAAACATTACACCATAAACAGATCATCATCTTTAATCAATCTCCCTAGGTTGCATTATAAAAGAAAAAAGCATCTGACATACATAGGTAGGATGAAATATACATCCAGACTATAAATATTTTTTTTTAATGAAACAGTCAAAATTTAAACAAATCTCAAAGTTCTTTCATAAAACTTCTCAATAATATTTTTTATACCCAGTTTCATCCTCTGGCATTCACAGCCTGATCATCTTTAACATTTAATTCTGGAGCTGTTTTTAAAAACCGTATACCATTCTGCTCATTGTAAATCCTAAAGAATCTTAAAAAAATATTTATGCAAAAAATATGATATTCACTTTGCAGCATTTTGGGGACCTTTCTGATTATCCAACAAAATTATTTGACTCCAATGAAAACTGGCCAACTCATCAGCCATTTTGTGAATTGGCGAGGAACATATGTTTGATTGTATCACTTGGCACTACAATAACAGAAAGCAATTTATGAGAAAAAACAAAAACTTATATGGCCATTTTCCTTTTTAATAACTAATGGATACCATTTAGAGAAATAACGTTTAAATATAAAGCACGTAATACACATATACTCAAACGCATGTGTTATACACACATACATAGGTTGGCTGTTGTCGTATGCAAATTCAAAAATACTCCCCCCCCCCAAAAAAAAAAGAAAAAAAAAAAAAAAAAAGCAGCTCTACAAAATATAGAAACCAATGATGCAAATCAAAGTAAAGTAGATTTTTTTTAAACATAAAAAGAGAAAATACTCTTAAAAATTATGAATACTACTTTTAGTAATGCACAATGAGTTTTTTTAACAAGGGAATTACTGGCAGAAACAGTTTTTGATGAATCAAATACTAATTTTGAAAAACTGCTATGAATAGGACATTTTCTGTTATAGAAAAACCATCTATTTCATTATTCTGGTATGACATCAAAAAAATTAGTTTAAAAAATTATTTTAAATGTACAGCATGATGATGGCATTACATACTATGTTACCAAAAGTAAACATAGTATGTAATGTCATTATCCCTCAAGGTCAGTTTACACCTGTCAGAGCGGCTCGGAGCGAGTCGCTTATTACGATTACTTTGACAATGTAAACGCTCACTTCGACGGAGTAGAAACGTAGGGGAGATGAGTCAGCGCTTCCGTTTCTACTTTGAACCTGTTGAAAAATCTATCCGGGCAGTTACTCTGAGCAGCGTTCGCAGGGACATCGTGAGAGTGAGTTCTATAATGCCAAGATTAAGCGATAGCCAAACCATGGCATTTTTTAATGCATATGCATCTTATGAACTGTTTTAGAGAACACTTCACAGCTTCATTAAGATGTTGCATACTTCTATAATTATGTGAGCTTATATTCATTTTTCTACAAGCATCCCTACATGAGGATGCAATAAATATATGATATTATAAACTATAAAAATAAAAATGGAATCATGAAAAAATATATAGATCTGTTTTATTGGGGATATTTAAATTTCTTGCTTTGTATAAAAACATTCTGGGCTATAATTCGTTATAATTCAGCTTGGATGTGAAACATGTTCAGCTTGGATGTGTGAGTGCAAGTACTGAAGGTGTATTAAGGTTTATACAAATTATCCTAGATGAATTCTAATATTTTTAAACTATCCGTTTTTTGCATTTTAAAAGAAAAGTATAATCACTATATTTAACCATTACTAATTTTGTTGATATCACTTTGTGTGTTGTCCAGAAACACAATTTCAGTAGGATCCAAAAGTAACAATTTGCGATAAATATCTTCCTGTTAAAACTATGTCATAATATATAGTATATTCTTTTACTTGTGGTAATATATGTAATGCTCCCAATTTTTTGCTACTTCTTATTTATTTAAGATTTTCTGAATAATTAGGTAGATATTATACAGTTTACTTTTGTCGTGTTAATGGTAGCTTTGAATAAATATTCCATGTGTTAATTTTGCATTCTTCTCTAGAAATAACACAGTTCCAATCAGAACTCTGCATAATTAATTACATGCACAGAGAGCTACTGATTCTGTGGATTCTCGATGAATAAACATATTCTTTCTATTATAAATAATAAAACACATTATTACTTTTACATTATTTTGTAAATGATTAATGAGTTGTAAATAAACAGTTGTATATAGTAGAAAGATTTTGTTAATTTGAATTTCAATAACCACAGTTGACTAAATAACTTCTCTGAAACTGAGTTTCTTTTAAATTCTTGTATCTGATATGCAATAACGTTTTTGTAACTTTGGACATTCTCGTCCAAAATTCATTTAATAGTTCATTTGATACTCCTAATTCCATGGCAGCAAGCTACCCAGTCACATACCATTTATTTTCTTCTTTTTTTTCCCTCCCAGCAGAAATTAATTCGTTTGAAACTGCTTCGCAGACTTCAAGCACTGCAGCCAAAGAATATCTATGTATGTTCCATGTATATTCTTTCTTGCAGCTGCCACGTCGGTATCCATTCCCGTAAACAAACAGAGGCGAGTTGTCAGTCCACTCTGATTGGGTGTAAACAATCTGTCAGAGTACAGGTCCGTTCACTCGGTTCGAAATGCCAGGACGAGCGGCTCGCTACGAGCTGCTCTGACAGATGTAAACTGGCCTTTAAACTTGTAGACTTCTGGTGATTATCATTGCTGAATTGCTAAGAAAATATGTGTAGTTAGAACAACTTTGATTTATGTAAAATAAACCATTATAAAAGTACTTCTGTATATAGTCTTGGACACATATTAAATCAATAATGAGAACGCATGCATGAAATAGAAACATTGCCTTACATACAGAAAAAATATTAGATTTTATATATTTTTTTAAAGAAGCTGGAGCAGAAGATGAAAAATTTGAAATGCTTAGAAATATCTAGTCATCTATTTAGAATAGCAAGAGATTAAAGAATCAAAACCATAGAAAGAAAAAATATTTGAGTCTAAAAAATCCCTCTAGCTATTCAAAGAAAAAATCTGCTGTTCAACTGATTAGCACTTATTTGAAGCACCTTGCAGGAAAAAGCACTCAAATGTAACTGGAGTGTAACTGAAGCAAGAAGAGGATTATAAACTTTCATAAAATCAAGTAGTTAATATAATAATCTGGATCAAGATTAACTGGAAAACTGATAGCAGAGGATGCAAATTCTGTGTTTCATAGCCTTCACTGGTGAGTAAAGATAAGTTAAAAATAATTGTTAATTCACAATTTACTTAAATAAATGATAATAATTATACCAAAATGATATCTGCAATAGAACAATCTCAGTAGAAAGTTTTTTAAACTTAGAAATATTTTAAACAATACATAATTTAGAGCACAAGTTACTGTATATTGAAAACAAGATACTGACATTATGTTTCTAAGAAAATGTAATAAAATAGGAATAACATTTTCTTTCTTGCCAGAAAGAGAAAAGAAGACAGTGGTTGGATTCATTATTCATAAACTACTGAATAATGCACAAGCCTACATTTGATGGTAAAAAATTCAGTTATCCAGAATACCAATATATATCCAAATAAACCTTTTGGCTGAAAACCAATATTTTAAAATATTTTAATTCTTTTAAATGTTTTGGCTGCAATGTATTAAAGGAGTGCTATACCACTTCTTCAATATGGAAACTCAATTTTAAATGAAAAAGGTTTGACTTCTGTTTTATATTTTAGTTATCGTTAAAAACAATTAAGAAAGGGAATTGTTAAATTTTCCAGTCCTTCACACAGCAGTTTGCTTTTATTTATTAAAACATTAATTTTTACAAAGTCCAAGATCTGGACTTCAGTGGTTATAGATTTCAGAATTTTCTGCATTTTAGAACATCTGTTATAAGATGACATGTAAAAATTATAAAATTAAAAATATGAAGTAGTTGTAACAATAAAGCATTTATGACCTTAAAGAATCAAAATTTAAAATATATAAATAAAATAAACAAAAAATCAATATTTGTTTGTTTACATTATTAAATATTTCTATTAATGTAAACTGTTTAAGTTGCTTCATTTTTTAGCACTAATACTTTATTTTAATTTTATAGACAGACATAATTTCTTATTGTTCGTTCTTTCTTAGAAAATTTCATTTTTTGCTTGCAATATCCGAAAATCTATAAATTCACAGCTAACATCTGCTGTTGATGATGTATCACAAGACTGACCACTAAAGACATGCTGTTCTGCTAAATTTTGTCTTCCTTCCATCATCTGCTGAGGAAGGAAGTTAAACCTATATTACTTTAGTTATGTATTAAACTTACATCTACTTCCCACATATGCTTAAGTGATACATAAGGTACATCCCACATAAGCTATTTCCCACATCTCCTTGTCAAGACATTTAATACTTCCCACGGTTGGCTGAAATCAGTAATCGTTGCCAACAGTAATGCTAACACAAAAAGTTACCATGCTGTTTCTTACTCATTGAAATATTTTTACATAAATAAATGTTTTAGTCATCAGAGTTTCTCAAACTGACATGAGTGCCACTTGTTAACAGTCATGTGGTAAAGAAAACAAAACAAAAACAAAAACAAAAAAAAAAAAAAAAAATGATTCACCAGGTTGCTGTCAGGGTTACAAGTTATTTAGTAGATATAAAATAAGTGATGTACTTTGGAAGACTGTTTTGGTTTGAAACGCACACTAAGCAAAAAGACAGCAATGGAGTCAAATTATGGATCATACTGATTTATGCTAATAAATGACCAAGTTTCTTCAACATGCAAGTGTTTTATTTATTGCCAAAGTAAAATTAAGCAAAAAAAAAAAAAGTCTTAAAAAATAAATAAAATAAAACTGCTGCTGCTGGTTCCATAAGGCATCTGAATTTTGGACTTTTTACTGTATAAAAATTCATCATTAATTTTTTATTAACTTATATCATAAAAGTTTTACTAAATATTAAAAATCCA